ATAAAGGCTGTGATGGTTGGGCACACCCTGCTTATCAAGCCTAGCTTTCACTGAAAGGGTTTAAAAGCATCAAATGATTAAGTCCAGTATTCACCGCTTTGAGTGCCCACAGAGATCCACCTAGCCATCCTCCCACAGGCCTCTTTAAAGCCCAGAAGTTTCAAATAGGTTTGTAGAATGGCTCAAAGGGGGATAGTTATCGGTCTCTGACTTTCCATGAACTGCTTAGCATCAGGATGACTTGGGAGCACAGCCACACATAAGCCAAGCATCACTAAATTACTGCTAAAGATGCTGCTTCTTCCCACATTGGTATTCACCTCCTTCACTGTCCTGAAGGTGGCCTGTGGAAGTGGCATGGTAAACGACTGAGGAAGTCATTTAGGTTAAAAGTTGTGTTTATTGTACTAGCACAACCAAGGAGATGACCCAAGGGTGACAAAAAAAGCAGAGGCTGCCTAGAACAAGCAGAGATATCAAAAAGTGCTTGTCAAGTCACGTAATAATTAAGCCTGACCCAAAACTTGGCCGTTTCACCTGGCAAAGACAAAAGCCCTACTGTGGGCTAAACACATCTGTAAAGTCATCTAGAACCAGAAAACTCAGCACTGTCAGGAAGATTTACAGCGAGAGGCAAGGATTTGGCAAAGCAAAAAGGTGAGAATGTGTGCATAACAAAGCATAAAGCCAATCCAGCCCTTCTCCATCCCACCCAGTCTCAGAGACTGCATTTCACCTCACCTACCATCAACGTTGTAGACTTTCAGGCCAGCCATGTGCTTGGCTGCACGGGACTTGGAGGCTGTTAACAAGGCTGGGTTGTAGACTGTGAAATCTTTGTAGTAATTTTCCAGAACCACCAGTGCAGCTCGCTGGATGCTAGAGGGGGGAGAAAGAAAAAAAAAGTTAAGCATCCCCAAAATGCAACAAGGTGTTTTTGTTCCTTAAGAGAGAGAAAAAAAAAGCCACTTTATTTGCATTATTTGGAACAGCTTGTCACACCCACAAAATTACGCAATATGCCGAATATTCATTACTCTCTCTAGGACCTAAAATTTCACCTGAGATGCAAGATAAATGCGTCTTCCCTCACCTCAGTAAGGAGATGATGGGAAATCCCTAAACAAGGGCAGCACAAACTGAAGTGCTAAGCTGCCTGCAGCATGGGAAAATGCAGAAGAGCTCAGCCTGCCTCAGCAGCAGGGCAGCTGTGACAGAGACCCTGCCCAGGCTGAAGATCAGAGCGCAGCGCTGGTTTTGCTGTATCTGGATGGAGGGACCGGCTGAGGATGGATGCTTTTCCCTTTGAGTAACTTCCAGCCGCACCTTGCAGCTCCTCAGATCTCCTCCATCCCAGCACTGACAAGAGCCCAATCTAGTCAGCTTTCACAGCAAGATAAGATCACTGCCTGAGGAGCATGGCTGCCAGAGGAGAAGGGATTACCTCGGTATTGCCTGTTAAATCCCAGGCGAGGGACAGAGCAGGAGCAGTGACACTCCCTGCCTCCCTTTGAAGGGATGCCTAGGGACAAGATGATGACAGACGGGAGCAAAACAACACACGCGCCAGCAGCAGGAAAGGCTCAACCCAGAGGTATCTTCCTTTGCAATCAATTAGACAAGAGAGAGATGTCTGTAGGCACTGCTACTAACAAACAGGACTGGATTTCAAAACATGCCAGAGCTATGGTGTTCAAAAAAAGCCAGCAGACACACGGGATCTAGGACGTAGCTCTCTCCACATTGCTCTGGCTCCACGCCCCAGCACAGTGTCCAGCTGGCAGTGGTATCCCCAGCGAATCACCAAGATTACCGATTGAGTCAACCAGAGTTTGCCAAGAACCCACACTTAATTTCAGTTTGAACCCACAAAAATTATAAGGGAACTGACAACCTATTTGTTGCCAGTTAATTGTAAAGTTCACACTTACCAACAAAGCCTCTCCTAAGTCTTCTCACACATGTCACAACATATGAAGAAAACATTACCAGGATGGCAACGTGGGAATATAAGACATGAACAAATTAAGACCTAAATTCAATTCTCAGTATTACCACCAATTCAACGCGTGCTCCCAGAGGAGCAATTTAATTTTTCCTGTGCCTTGTGCTAATATTAAATTCCTGCATCACACCCAAGTAACTTAAACACACACACCCCCTCTGCCATCCTCATTCTCCAGCTGCCCCCCTCCCACTGATCACTGAATTAAGCAAAGATGCCAGCCCATTCAGATTTTGAGAAAGCACAAACCCAGACTTGTTCAGTGTACCTTCATCAGTCAGTACTATGGTACAGCACCACATATTTCATTAGTTGTGTACCTTTAAGATTATTAATTTACCTTTGGAAGCAAATTCCATCTTTAGGACTGTTTAGTGGGGTCTTTTGCATCTAGCTAAAAGAAGCTGTACTTTTCAGGTTCCTGTTCTTCACATTTCCTCATATCTGGTTTGTTAAAAGCAATTTCATTTAAGCCCTCAGCTACTACTTAATCAAAGAAATAATCTTCCTTTAATGAAGTAGTACAGACTGACCCACCGCTACACACATGCAAGTGCTGACACAGAACAAGTGAAAGCTGGTTTATTTCTCCCTGCCAAACTTCTGATCCCTACTGTGAATTTGCTGCAGCTTAAAAACAAAATTTCATAGAACTCATGCAGCAGCAGCAGCACCAGCAGCACATACCCCCCCTTCTGACTGCATTCAAACATGGCCAAGTTTTTCCATGTCTGCTTCCCAGGAAACACCATAGTTTAATCTCAAAATGCATTATTTGGAAAACCAGGATCAACTGAAAACAAGAAGATAAAAATGAACAGAGTTCTACTCTGCTAATACACTGTGCTCATTTCAGGCAGCATTGGGACTTCTGTCCCAGCAGTGGGAAATGTCTGGGAGGTGCTCCATTGACCAACTGCTCTGTTAGGACAAAATACAATGCAGCACAGGAGAGAATTATTTATTTTAATACATACACATTTTCCCTGGACCACACAGAGAATGTTATCATCAGGATGCCAGCTTTTCCCCACCCACTACCCCTTCCATCCTCTCACTAAATAACCTACCCCACCAATTCACTGGCATAGGCACCCAAAATCCAAACACAGTACAGCTTTTACGTCGCAATAAGCAACCATCACTGCTCTGAAAATTAAAACCCAGCTATTCTTTGCTGATGCGAATCCAGTACAGGCTCAGTCCTGTATGAGATACCACAATCACACAAAAGGTCTGCTTTCTATGGAGAGAACTGTAATTAAACATCTGTTTCCTAAATTTCCACCAGCCCATTTTTGTTTCCCATGTAGCCTATTCTAAGCATGGCAGCTGGACTGCAACTCTTCAAATCTTCTCAATGAAATAAATAAATTTTAAAAAGGAATTAAAGAGAAGACGCTGTGGACAAGAAAATTAGAAGAGTCACAATAATAAGCAAGAGTGAGGAGAAGGCTGAATCAGAGCCTCCTGGGCTGTGTTGCTCAACCTCTTCAGCCACATCAAGGGGAAGCCTCACCCCACACAGCACAGGATGGCCAACCCTGTCCCACGCAGGAGCTGCAAAGCAACAAGACCCCTCCCCCAAAACAGGCACAGACATCACAAGTCCAGCAAGAAAGGGACTCAACGCAGTTGTGCAACACAGTGTGCAAGGAGGAGGGGAACTGCAAGCAAATAAGCATCCAGACCAGCCCTGAGGAGCGACTCAGAGCAAAGCAAAACGCTAAGGAAGCCTGCCTAGTCCTAACAGAAATTCAATTTTTGGAGGCTTTTCACTGCTGCCCTGTGAGGAAGGTGAAGCAGCTGCAGCAAACCTCCCCTCCACCCATACGCCAGCTCCAATGGGGATGGACACTGGCACCCTTCCCAGAGCCCATGTTCGGAAGCTGCTCCCTTGTCTCAGGAGGGGTTCAGCACCATGTTGGTCACTGCATTTGTTCACCCCGCACTTCAGCAAACTGAGGAGGCTCTCCTTGCCTTTACGATTTTAAAAGAATGAGGAGGGGCAGGGAAAAAAAATTAACAGAAAGTTTCAACACTTAATTGCCTGTTTGGAGAGGGTCAGTGTAAGGATCCTCCTCACTTCCTACAAAGAGGATCTGGCAGCCAAATCTATTTCAGGCACTGTAACAAACTACCAGAATACAGAAAAGCAGATTGGGGACACACACAAGAAAAAACATTTTCATGGAACTGTTCAGACTCCAAACCTATGACATGAGAAAAAACCTCTTGCACAGAGCAGTGGCCTACTGGAAACCCAGTTTTTCTTGTAGGCAGTATCAGTAAGGCTCTATGTTTTGCTCTGCATTTTGTGTGGTTAGAGGGGTTCCTTTTTTTGTTGCTTACTTTGATTTCCTCCATCATCACCATCATCATCAATATTACTACTACTACTACTCCTACTCTGAAGAAAGCCACGTCACAGCATACTGCCAAGAGGGAAAGCAAACAAGCAGATCCAACAGAAGTGCAGCGTATCTCAGTGGCATCTGGCAGCAGAGAAATGCAGGCTACTTTACAAACAGTAATGAATTAACTTTTACAGGGCATCCAAGGGAGTGGAGGAGGGGACTATGTTACACAAAGGCAATTATCAGGTTTTTTTCTTCTCAAAAGGTAAGTCAGGAACAGTTTTGCTTGAATGCTTGTTGCTACGTGAGACTTTGATATTTGAGGTCTTGCCATACTCTGTAGCTCAGAGGCCATTTTGGCTTTGTATCTGCCTTCTGTGACACAGCAACACCAATTCTGAAATTGGCTTTTTAGAGGATTTCCAGGAAAACAAGACAGCGCTGTACTGAAGCAAAGTACAAGGAAAGAAGGCTGTTTATATAATCAAAATACTGTCTTTGGGCCCTGCTGGTTTTTACAGATAGGGTTTTGAATCTTCTGAAGTAATGGGAGAGGGTCAGCGAAAAAGAAAAGAAGAAGGGGGAAAAAAAAAGAAAAAAGAACAAAGCCATACCACTACGTTCAAAGTTGCCATTGGACACAGCAGGATCAGACTCAGCAGGCTACAGTGGCTGTCACTCACAAGGTTTTAGCAGTTCTGTGCTTTCCTGCAAAGCTAAAAACGTAGCCTGTCATGGTACTACACCAACCATCAGCTAGACACTACTAATGAGTGCCTCACACTTTTGCAACAGATCTAGATATAAATACACATCAAGAAAGAGCTGAGCTGTTTGCTACCAGAACACCCACTTTCTTGCCTTGCTATGGATACAAATCCTGCAGCAGCAGAGTTTAGGGTGAGCCACATGCCTGAAATCCACAGGGATAGCCAGAGAGGCCTGATCACTGTGGTGCTAATAGAGAGCTGAGGAAGCCTGGGGTTATTAAATAAAATGGTTCCCAGCACAGACTCCTTTCCTCCAAACAACACTATTTTATGTTCTTCAAAACAGACAGCATCAAACCAATCCAACGTCTCTGGGCACACAAAATACATGCCACAGCCAGTTGGGAAGCTTTGGCACCTCAAAGTGAAGTTGAGCAAGGACTGCAAGAAGAACTTTCCACACAGAGCCAGATTTACCTTACCATCTGTCTCCAGCCTACAGGTGCATCAAGCTTATCTACTGCGAGAGGTGCTGAGGTCTCCTGGAGCGCTGAGCTGCTCATCCACAGCACTTCTTACTCTGTAGCACACACTCAACTGGCTCAGAAAACTTGTGCACCTTCCCAAGGCACCATATAATCACATCTCCCTCCCAGAAAACTCCTTCCTTCACATACTCTTGGGCTAGGTGCAGAGCTGGGGCTTCAGTTCCTCATTCTTCATCACGCTTGACTGCTCTTCCAAAGCAAAGCCACCAAGACCAAAGCTTCATAAAGGGAACTGGAAATGCACAATTGAAACAAAATG